CCAGCCTTTGAGCCCTGGAAGTGCACTGGAGAGAGCAGTGGATGGCCAGTCTCCTCTGTGAAGTCTCAAGGAATTCCTACTTCAGCCCTGCAGAAGAGAAACAGACTCCTATCTTTATACATTTTCCTTCTCTTTTGGAATCAAATTTGATTGAAGCTTGTTTCCTTGGCTGGGTTTTTTGCTTCCTTGTTTCTTTCGGTTTTGAATTCAGATTTTCCCAGGGCACAGTAAGAATAATTTCTAGTCATCCATTCTATGAATGACTTTTTGTATGAGGAGACTGAGCATCTTACGGGTTTTTTTGGCCTCCTGTAATGCTTCTCCTCCTTGGGTCAAGCAGAAGAGTGGACTGGAATCGAAGGTGTAAAGTGGCAGTGGGTGGAATGGGCATTTCAGTGTTTCTTTCCCAGCACCTCCTAACTTTTCAGAAAATCCGTTGATCAGGTACCTAATTACCCTTTTTTTTTCTTCTTTTCCAGCTATTACTAAAATGACTTGGCCCCAAAAGGCCAAGAGGGCCTCCGTGACTTGATGGCAAACGGGAATTGAACAGTCAGTGGGACAACAACATCCTGATGCCACAAATCCCTGTCTTGCCTCTGCCACAGATCTCTGCGCTGCCTCTGCCAGGCAGTGCCTGAAGGAGCATCCTGGCCACCCTGGCTCCGGGGCACACGTGGTCACAACCACACAGTTCTGCATAGGCTAAGAAGAGGTAGGAGCAAGCCTGTGCTTTCCCAGCTCAAACTCTCCAACGACCTTGAGTGATGGGACTCTCCTTGTGTTACCCTGCTCATCATGGCAGACCCACCTCCAGCCCGGTGTTGCTTGGGCAAGGTCACACTTGTGTGACCATTGTGTCCTAGACAGAAGGAGGAGCTTTCTGCAGGCAGAGATCCAAAATGCTACTCGCAGGTACTTTCCAGGCTATCTGTTACAGATCAGTTGGTGGATTTTGAGGATTTCAGATCAGGGGAAATACTTGAAGGCAGCTCTGAGGCATTCCCCTGTCAGATGCACACGTGATTCAAGGGTCTGAAGTATGCGTCAGCATCTCCTGGCTGCTTTATCCTGAGGGATGAAAAGTGAGGCCAAAGAGAGGAGTTTCCCAAGGCTAAACTGGGAGACAGAGTCCTGCCTGGAACAGTGTCAAGACCCACTGAAGATGTCAGCAGGATCCCCCCTTCAGTGAACCCTTAGGGGTCATTAGGTGATGTTTCTTTCTTGGCACAGCTGCAAATACCATCCATTGCCTCTGTTTTACTCTACTAGCATTGTTTTCTCACTGACCCTAGTGTTGATCTTTAGTGTTGATAATCATTGCATCTCATTTCATCCTAAAATGAACTATAATCTGAGGGAGGCCTGTTTTTCATTACCATTGAAGTTGCAACAACAGGAACTTTCTCTGACGCAGTTCACAAGGGGGTGAGGAGGTGGGAGGGAGGGTTAGTTATTCCCTCTGTTTCCTGTGCTGGAGCATGGGCTTCTCTATCAAGCTCTGCCATCTCTCCCAGGGGCCAACCACTAATTCCTCCATGCCCCTGCATGCTGGAACCTCTCTTTAGAAGAGACTTCCAATCATGACAAATTATCTGTGCTGATTTTGTGACATGAACTGTTACCCATTAGGGAATGAACTGGCATCAATAAATTCATTTCACTTACAACCTCACACTGTGCATGAATTGAAGTTCTAGAGGTGAAAGACATAAATTTACCAGGTGGGCAGGCACACAGCTTCCCTGTAAGACTGTGCACTTCACCTTTGCTGCATGAGCTGCTTCTGCTGGGCCAGCCCAACATTAATTTTGCATAGAGTAGATTTCTCCTGGTCTGTGCACAGTCCACATGATTTATATTTGCTTCAAGTAGCTGTGTGAATAGCCTTACCACATAACAAACTCCTGTTTGTGCCTTCCCAAAAAAAAACAAAAAAAAACCCCAAAAAAAACCAAAAAAAAACCAAAACAAACAAAACAAACAAACAAAAAAAACCCAACTTCAAACCCAAACACAGCATTTTGTTTTACAAGATAAGAACAGTTAGTATTAGAACAACATCTTCTGATTTCCAGGCTATGCAGAGTCAGTAATTAATGAGTTCTCCCAATGCCCTGGTGGGGCAAGTGAGAGAGTATCATTTATTAGGCAGAAAGGAGTTCCCATATGTGTTAATCTACATCTTAGTCATTCTGATGGTAAATTCATCAAATCACTCCAGCAGATAAGGCTCTCCTCCTCCCCAAACACTCTGTCAGTCAAGTGGCTGAAAATTTCACTCATTTACCCAAATGAAAATCTCACAGGGGACAAATAGAAACTTCCAAGCATTTAGTAAAAAGCCTCTTGTGTCTCCATGCTCCTGAGAGCTCCTGATCAAGCCAGGGATCCTGTTATGTTGTGCGTTGTGGACACCAGGTGAAGGCAGACCTCAGACCAGAGCACTCACTGGCCTTGTCCTCCCTGTTCTGAATGTTTTGAATGGCTGTTTTGGAATACAGCTTACTGGCCATAATATAAAATAAGGGGTCTTGAGGATGAGGTCTCTCCTTTTCTTTTCTTAAGAAGGGTTAGATACGGTCATGGGTGACAGGTCTGTAAACAAATATTAAAGGAAAAGAAGACAAGGATGTGCCCTTCAGCACCCTTAAGCCATCTACGAGTGTGGGTGTTGGGGGATGGATGAAGGAAACAGGATCACAGAGGCTCATATTTTCTCCTTAAAATTCTTAAGACAGAGCACTGGGCACGACAGACTGCTTGTCTGACTCAGCAGGGCATTTTTTGTGTTCTTAGGTGAAAAGGGAAGGCTGGAAACTTCCTTCAGAAGCCATAGGAGTGGAGACATGACTTTGCTGGGTCTTCCAAATACAGTAAGCACTGGAAGCACCTCCAGGGTTGCTGCTGGCAGAGCCACTTCCTTTTTGCTTTCATCCAGCAATCAGACATTTTCCCATCTCTGAGGAGCCAGGCCTACCCCCAGCAACAATGTACAAAGGTCACACTTGTGAATGTGCAGGAAAACCTGAATGGTGGTTAGGCAACGAGTGTGGTGAGGAATTAGTCCCTTTTATTTTGTTTTCTTGGTTTGTCATGTTTTTAGGGTTTTTTACCTTTTGGCAAAAAAACATCAAGTATAGCAATTTGGGAATACTGTCTAAATGCACCACAGTGGTTGTCGCTTAAAAGCTTCATTCGCTTCTTCACTTGTACATTCTGTGCTCCCTGCCTGAGCTTCATTACTTTGATGAACTGAACCTTATTTTTGGTAAGCATCCTGTTGACCTCTCTGTAGCTACAGGAAGCTCTTCACCATAAACATTGTCTCTGTCCAGTCACAGCTTGTCAGCTCCACAGATTGTGGTCACCTCTCTGCCTGCAAAGTGTTTGTCTTGCTGTGGTAAATAAACGGGACAGAAGGCAATAGACAGGACGCCTGGGAGGATCAAACCCCAGACACACCTCTGAACACCTCTTTCCCCAGACACTCTCCATTGCTTATGAGAGGGAGAGCCACATTTCAGCTCCTTCCATGCTTACTCCTCATGCAGAGTGGCAGGACCCCAGTCCTTCCTCTGGGTTGTTGTGGTGCCCTTCCTTCCAGGCACCCCTAATGTAGCTGTAGGTGAAGACAAAGGTGAAGGCAAAGGCGAAGGCACAGTGGCAGGGAGGTCATACGCCTTCACCCACAGCATGGCAAAACTTGTCCTGGGCTAACCTGTCCCACATAAGCAGCAACAGCAGTCCTGCCAGGCTGCTCGGCTGCTGCTTCACTGGCACAAAATCCATGGCCTTACAGAGAGCTTCATGCCCATTAAAAGCAAAGGCAAGCCAGGAGGACAATCCCTTCCCTACACTCTCTCGTGCTACTGGTAAAGGCAGCAGCCTTTCCTGGAGCAAACTGGTGCTTTGAACATTGGCCATGTGGGGTGGCCAGGTAATCATTCCCAGGGGCACCATGCCATAGCCAGCCATGCTAATGCTCCCCTCTCTGTCCTCCCACCTGCACTGCCCCTTCTCACCACCCTTTCCCCAGCCCATCTCCAATGGTCAAAGGGATTGAGAAGTGCTCCTGTGCCTTTGGGGTCAGACCCAAGCACCCTGAACGTGAGAGAGGACACAGAAGGGGAGGAGGCAGGGAAACCCATGCTCCTTCATAACATCAGCAGCAGGTAGGACCTGTTCATATTGAAGCTCTGGTGCATGAAGAATTACACTCCAGCCTGATTGTTTTATAAAAATCTGCTCCGGCACCTGTCCAGAGCCATGATCACATCTTCAGTCATGTGGCCAAATGCCTTTTAGTTTTAATCATTTGATCAAATGCCCTAGTGAAAGAGCCATTCGTTCAAATGATTGAAAGTTTGTCATTTGACCAAATTACTAGTCTGGCAGGATGACTAACGGGTCATGCCACAATGTCAAATTCTATTAATGTCACCTGAGAGAGACAAGTGAGGAAAGTAAGGGTTAAAGGAGGAAGTTTGTAGAAGTGTTAATGCCTCACCATGTACCCCCACACATACACAAGTGTGGTCCCAAGGAACAGGATGTGAAATCATTCAGATGGCTCCATACCATCAAGCAGATAGGTGGCTGGAGGGGGTCCATGTGGACATCCCTCAAAACCTGGTGAGAACAATTTATGTCACTGAAGGAGGACAGAGCTGCTGTATCAGAGGAGAAAACTGGAGCTTGAGTGTACACTTGGACTTCAGGTGAGGGCTGCCACTGCTGGGACTAGATGGAGAAGAAAATCTGGCCAAACCCTGAACCAGGAACCACAGCTCAGCGAGAATAGTCCCAGGCACTTCTAGTGCCACTGGTGTTACCACGCTTTCACTACCTGGATCAGCTGGGGATGCTGATATCATTTCCTCACACCTTCCCCTTCACATTTCTGGAGCTGTGTTTCTTGGATGGAAGGAAAACAAGGAGTGGAGGAAGGAAGACTAAAATGTAGCCACTGGTAGAAGGGAGAACTGACAGCAGCCATATAAGGGGGCATTAACCTTTCATAAACCTGCTCTCTGGCCTGTGACTGGAACCAGGGAAGAAATGTAATTCTTGTAGTAGGTCTCCTGTGTGCAGCATGGTTGTTCTGGCACACGCACTGGCTTCCTGTGAATTGCAGTTATATTTGCAGGGTGTTAGTATAGAGGCAAGATGGATTTTGTTAATATTAAAGAAGCAGCAGACTTCAAGCAAGAGGCCAGCATTGAGGAACCAACATCTCTTGTCTTTCAGAAAGGGTTTGCAATGGACATTCCTGGTGAGTGATGATCCCTTACAAAACTCACGCACCCTGTCTGACCCTGTCCCCATGTATGCTGGTGGGTGCTGGGTTGTGACCAACAGCTCCAGACCTCTGAGGGTCCTTGCAGGAGCAGGTGCTGGATCCAATTTATGCCCCTTCCCTGTCACCTGCCGATGTTTTGCTTCGAGGAAGACTTCAGGGGGATTGGTATGCCACCACTTCTCATCCAGGTGTACAGTTAGGTACTTGTTCATCCTGATATCAGAGCCCTGTCACGTGGACACAGCCAGTGAACCCTATACTAATTCAAACCCAGTAATAACAGTCTATCTGACTTGAACCTCTGACCTGCAGACGTGACACACACCAGGCCAGGAAAGAGCATGTGCAGAAGTGTGTCTGTGCACATGGGAACAGCATGTGCAGAAGCGTGCGTGTGCACATGGAACAGCATGTGCAGAAGCATGTGTATTGGTGTGAGTGAGGGTGTGCACACGTCTGAGCATGATCTCTGCCTCTTCAGGCCGGTTCCACTGCTGCTCCCTGCAGCCTCTGGCCCAGGCAGATCGCTCTCCACCTCATAATGAACCATCTCACTGCAAAGGCGAGTTATGACCTTGGTGATGACCATGCTGTCAGTTCCAGGACAGCCTCTTTCTTTCACACTGGATCAGCACATCTGATCAGTGTGTCAGGGCAGTAAGTCCCCTGCCCAGCACCTGGGACTGAAGTGCATGGTTCAGTGCTGTGCTGTGCCAGGGCCGTGGTGTCACAACTCATGCAAAGACAGGGCAGTGACTTGGCTTTATCTGTGCCTCCTGCAGTCTCAGTGTCTTCCCCCTTCTTGTGACTTCAGCTGGAGTGCTTGAAAGTCATCAGGTCAGTGTGGTTCTTGCTGCTGTCTCACATCCCTACCCTAAGCCCTCAGATAAAGGTGATCAGAACTCCAGCCTATTCCTTGTGCTCTCTTTCCAGTTCTTCCAGTTGGCATGTGTCCCTCTTCAGTCAATATACTGCTTTGTGTCTACAAACTCTGTCCTCTCAGGCTACATGAGTCAACTTTCACAGCTGACTCCAGGGCTTGTAATGTTAGAGAGGTGTTATATAGCCTTTGCACATCTACATATACTTGAGGACTGTCTGTACTGGGCCTGCAAAATTAGATATATACACAAGCATGGAGAAAGCTGCAAAGAACTATTTGGTCATAAAAAGATTGCCAGTTCAGCCTCAGCTTGAGGTAAATGTCTCAAGCAAACCCATTACGTATTCTCTGAATACACAATGGGCTTGATTTGAGATGTATTTATGCTCAAGAATATTATGTATTCTCTTTATACACCATGCAAGGTTAAATTTTTTTGAAAATTTATATTTGCTTTTTATCCTACAGACGATTTATGACCAGATCTCCTGAATCTATTTGAAAACGTCAATTTATTCTTGATTAACTCCAGAAGTGCTGGAGATTCACTTGCTGCTATTAATGTATTTAGAAGCTAGACTCAGAAAAGTTTAGTTAAACTCTTCTAGAGGAAACCGAGAATCCAGATTTGGCCTGTTACAGAAAGGGTCTATGTTAAAATTCAACTTTACATTGGAATTCCTGATTGGGGACATTTAGATTTATAGCAGTGATTTGGACCAGTCCCTAATCAATTCCTAGATAGTACTTTTTCATCAGCTGATCTGACAGCAGGAAGAAGGTCAGGATCATAAATTTCCCCTTCCCGAGTGCCAGGAGTGGAGGTGGGAAGTGCCTCCCCCAGGTGTGCAGCAGAGTCAGGAGCAGGGGCTGGGTCTGCCTGGGTATTGAGTTCAGCCGACTATCCAGCCCACTGGGAGCACTGGGAGCACTGGCTGCCTGCCACCCCTCTCCCAGGAGCTCAGCTTGCCTGAGGACACTCAGAAAGGGTTACTACACATCTTTCAGAGTGGCTGGGTCAGGTAGGGCAGGATGTCAGCCTGGGACATCAGCACAATTCTCCTTCACCCAATATGCATCTCCTCCTGTTCTTGCCCCTTCCCATTTTCCTTACCGTGGCCCCTTATGCTCCCAAAACATCTGAGGTACGCTGTGCAAGCCAGGCCAGGTTGTTCTTCGAGGGAGAGTCTGAGCAGAGAGAATGCTACTGTTGGAGTGCATGGAATGAGCTCCTCGACAAGGTGCCCTGAAGTTACACGCTCACTGCTATATCTAACCCCCTGCATAAGCATCTGATTTTCAGCACTGTGGAGCTCTGTATCCAGCTTTACACAAGCTTAGTTAACACTGTGTGGGTGGATCTGAGTTGCAAAGTTCTCAGGTTTGGACTCAGTCCAAAGAAGGCACTAAGCAGAGAAGAGGAGAGTGACTTTCACTCCTGAGCTACCTCTGTGGCTCTGTCCCTTCCACCAGGTGCTGTGTAGCCTCCAGTAAGCCCTTTTCCTCACACCCTCCCCTAGCTCTTGAAGCTAAAGTCCTGGTCCTTCCCACCTTCATTAGCTCCTCAGTGTCACCTTTTACTCCCTGCATCCTTGCACATGACCCCCCACATGATCCTGCAGTGATCCTGAATGCTGTACCATTAACCCCTTCCCACCCCACATATGGGCAACAAAGGCATTGAAGGTGTTGGTGTATCTGTTTGCCCCCCAACAGAAGGATTGCCCAGACCTTCCCTCAGCACCTCTGTGAAACCCTTTGGCTGGAGGAGAAACATCAGCAGGAAAGTGTAGTGTCACATCAGAAATACCTGAAATACTCATGGCCAGGGTCAGGTGGCAATGACTTCTGCTTGACTGGCTTGGTGCAGGCTGCTGCACCTTCTCTTTAGTGAGAGCTCATGCAGTGGTGATTTGATTCACTCTGCTCTCTGATTACAGCCTCCATTTTCCCACTAAGTATAGGAAGTGTAGTAAAACACCCAATTCACTCATCCCCCAGAAGCTGAAATGAACAAGAAATGATGTATGCACCCCTGTATAGGTTATGATATTGAAAGCCTTTAAGCACCACTGCCCGGCGACTATGGGACAAAACCACCTGGCACAGATAGGGACTGTTTCAAATAACCCACAATCTGAGTGCTGAAGTGGGTCCTGTTGCTACCAGAGATAGTAAACCAGCGGGTTTGGACTTTGTAACATCTTCAAGGCGGCATGGTACAACTCTGCCCAGCTTATCAAAAATGAAACTAGTGTTTGACGTAACAATAGTGTTAATATCTATCACGCACATCGTTGTGAAATATATCGGTCAAGGAGAGCTCCCACAGAACAGCTCAGCACTTAGCTCCTTGCAAAAGCTGCAGGAGGGTATGAATTATTATGAGTATTTTTAATCAAGTAACAGATACAGTTGGTGTAGTCAGAATTTTCAGAGAAGCTCAAGCTCCTGATAAATATGTCACAATCTATGATAACTTTGCCAAGTCCTTTAATATCCTACAGCTCCAGTTGTTGCCTTCTGACTCCTGCAAAATGTGGGAAGGAAGGGCAAATGTCAGTAAAATCGCTTTGTCTGTTTCAGATCAGCACATCAACTGCCTCAAGGGCAAATCCATGCTCCCTCCTTCCTCTCTGGTGGATGCAGAAAAGGGTCTTTGTTTGCCTTGTTCTTAGAGGAAGGTTTTACCCAAGAAAGAGGCCTTTCCTTCAGATTTTTGGAAAGGATTTAGAACTCACCCACCCCAGACGGCAAGGCTCCCATATCCACCAGTGATAAAGCTTGCATCTTCTCGGCTTCGTTGGTGTAACCTTTTGCAACTTTGCCAGATCTGCATCACATTTCAAATAGTTAGCTCCCAAAACAACAGTCTAGCATGTCATTTCTTCAGATTGAGCTGACAAGGCTGAAGGAAAACACCCAAGGATCACTGATTCTCACGGAACCAGAAGGTGACTACCTCACAAAGGGAAAGCAGAGAGGGAAGGTTGCAGGAACGAGAAGTGCCCACAGAGACAAGAGCTCAGGGACATGAACCCCCTTGCTGGAGGGACCACTGGCTGAAATGCGGGTAAGGTGTTTGTGGCTCTTTCCTTCCTTCCAAGGAAGTGTGAAAGGAGAAATTCATCACACATGTGCACAAGGCAGCACAGTTCTGCCTGAACTTCATCAAGGTAATTTGTGTGGCACCACTGCTTGTACCGAGGATGGGGCACAGCTAGTTCCCTTCCACGAGGGTTGGGGTTGATTCAGCCTGCCAAATAGCAAGGCTGGATCTCAACCTACTTGAACATTGAAATATTCAGAACTGGATTTTGTAGACATGCAAAATCTTAAATTGCCCAGAGAGATTTTAAATGAGTCTTAGCCCAGGGTGGTTTTCAAGATCATCAGTACAGGCATCTCTGGGAAGTGCTGTAATATATGGCTTTTATCTGGAAAATGACCACTGCTTGTTCTCTGAGTAAGAAGTTCAGGGGATGGGGAAGGGGTCATGATTTTAATTTTTACAGTTTTCTCTTTTTTCTCTTGGTTCCTCTCTTTCCAGGTGTCTGTTATCACACTACAGGAGAGCAGCAGTCTGTATGGCCTGTAAGAGTAATATAGGATGTGGGGAGGGAAATAAGGCACTAAAAGTCATGCAATCAGTCTGGGAGATCAACTGGGGAATGCAAAAAAATCAGCTTAGTTTTATCAAATATTACTTTTAAAGGACATAGAGGAGAGGGGATACTGAGGAAATCTCCTTCAAGGCATTAAAAGTCTGTGCTAGAGAACAGCTGTCCAATGAAACACACAGTAAATAAAAATGCAAATCCTAAAACACAATATAAAACTCCATGCTGTCTCAAGACTGAGAAAGGTCACCATTTCAGGAACAGCAAAATCTTCCAAGTCACTGAGGCAAGGTGGAGCCCCAGCATGTGGGTAAGCACTTACTGCAAAGCCTGCAAGAGCCTTGTCATTGTGGAAACCCTAAAGGCACTTCTAGGGAGAAAGGCTGGGACTGGGGGAGGACTTAATGGCAAATATCAGCCTAAACAAACACAATAATGGGACCAGAAACTGCCCACACCCCGTGAATGAGAAAAAAGATCCAAAAAGCAGATAGAAGCCTCCATCTCCATATAATCTGCCTAATCACAATCTCACTGTCTCCATTTTTTAACATTTAGTGCACACCCTGAAGGTGCCTGATGCTCCCTAGAGCCTTTCTGAGAGCAGCCGGTGAAACGGATTTGCCCTGGGCTTCCCCATGCTCCCCACAGCAAAGGGGAAAGTGGCATCCATGCTGCCCTGCAGCACAGCAAGGCAGGGCTGAGCACACACCAAAGCTGAGTTCAGGCCTGTCCTGCCCTATCCCAAACGTTTGCACAGCGATCCCTCTGGCCAGGACTGGTGGGCAGGAGTGTGTGCCCAGCCTCATCCATGAGCACTGTCATTGGGTATCCACCCAATGGATTGGGTATCCACCACTGGCTGCTCTCCTAAAGTCTGACCTGAGTTCAGAATAATCTTTTAAATCTCTCTTCTCACCTTTTTGTCTGCAGCTGTGATGAGCAATCCCAAAATGACTGAGCTTTCTGCTCGCCCTCCATTTGTTCAGTGCACTGACCTAATCCTCTTTCAAGAGCCCCTGGAGCACAGCAGCCCAGCCCACTCAGTCACCATCCCATGGACCTTCCTCCACCATGGGCCACAGGATTAGTCCTGAAACATGAGACTCACCAGAGCCCTCTGCTTGGCATGCTCCTAGCTGATTTTCCAGGGCCAGCAACCTCGTCAAGGGGAATTTCCTTTGACATTTCCAACGGGGAAGAAAGTGCTTCCAAGAGGGCTATAAAAGCAGAGCTGCTGCTGGCTGATTCACTTGCAGGACTCCAGCAGAGGAGCTCATAGCCATGGCAGCAAACAGGCCATAGGACCAGGGATGCTCACACGGCACAGTCAGTGGGCTCGGGAGGCACATTTAAGGTGGGGCTTGGCATCATGGCAGTGAAGGGCTCAGGGACTAAAATTAGGCCATGGCAAGGAAAGCCAGTGAGCAGGAGCTGCCACAGAGTCTCCTGAGTGTTACCTAGTGCCTGGGAGGGAGACCGAAGAGAGGACAGAACAAAACAGCCCCCCGGACTTGCAGCAGCAGGGATAGCACCTCACACCCCAGGATAGGGTCATCATGGTGGCTGTGAGAGGGAGACAGATCACTGGGAAGAAACTGAGACTGGTTGCTTGGAAAAAGTTGAGACAGGAGAGGAGAAAAGAGCCTTGTGTGCAAAACAGAAGCTCAAAGTGCAAAAGTAAGACAAGGAAATATTTTACGTCTTTTATTAACCCACTTGAAACAGCAGGACAGAGAGCAGTATTGATAAATAGTCGTACTGGGAAAATTTGCAGACCTTTCCTTCTGGCACCACTCCACCATTGGCAGCCGTGCCGATGAATTAAGGCTCTGGTATCTAACCCTGGCCGTTGCTGTAGCAATTTGGAAAACAAAGCTCTGAGTGTCCTGGCTGCCTCACAGTTGTGAAGTGACCCATCACATCCCAGACCTGGCACCTGCACCTTTGGCTTGCTCATGCTTTATAAGGAAAAAAGGCCAGTGCCCTGACCTTTGCAGCACTTTCACTGCTGCTCATCTGGTCATAGTGGCTCTCTTGAGAAGCTACCAGAGGCTGAAGAGGTGATGGTGGGTTTGGGAGAGAAGCTCAAATGCTCCTGTGCCTGGTTTTCTCTTCTTGGCCTGTTCCTACCAAGGCTGCTGCAGCAGGGTGCAGGAGTGACTCACAGTATACAGGACAGCTTTTTTGGGAGTGAAAGGTCTCTCAGATGAACAGGAGCAGTAGATGAGCCTGTCTCTTGGAGAGTGAGCGCAGCCTGTGTCTAGGAGGTGGCTGCTCTGCTTGTCAGGGCTGGGCTGGTTTCAGTGACCATTCCCCTCTGTGGTGGCCAGCACCATTCCTGTGTCACGCAGAGCCTATAACTCACGGAAATAAAGCACCTCTGACACCCCTCTGAGACATGTATTCTATATGAAAATTTGGTTTATTACTGTCAGACCCACAAATCTGGATCCGCTGTGTAATTCTAGCGGCGTCCATCAGTCAGACAGACACATTTAATGAGAATGAGAATTTATACCGTTACTTCCTATATTGGCTGCTGCCGAAGTGCAATCGACAGTCAAGATCTTCCCTTGCCAAGAAAATTGTCCCTGAAAGAGTGCTGGTATCTCAACGTTTCAGGAGAGCAAACCCACAAATGTAGAGATGCCTCTTTGGTGGATGCAATTCTCCCATGCTGGATACAGAACCAGGGTGTCTGTCCTGTGTAGGCACATGGGGGACGAGCAGGCAGTCAGTGGAATAGATAGAAATGTATAATGGATGATCTTGCTCAGCACTTGGGAATGTATATTCCCTGGTTTTCTCAGGAAGAAACACGTTTGATTTCCTCCAGCTATTTTTTTTAAGTGCTGTGTTGTGAATATTGACATGTTTAGGTGTATTTGCATTGGCTGTAGCTGTGGGGGCAGGGCAGACTTCTCCAGATGCATGTGTCAGGTCGGGTGCTTGACTCTCAGAATAACACTGCTGAAAATCACCTTTTCCCTTTGTTTTTCTTGCCTTTTCTTCAGAAGCCTTTGCTGCCATTCTGTCTGCCGAAGAGAAGCCGGTGAGGGCTACAAGGAAGCGGTACCATGGCATTTCAACACTTGGCAAGGTCCCCTGTTAGTTAGAGAGACAGCCACATCACAGATCTCCCCCTGCACAGGGTGCCCCTGTTGCACCTTGCATTGCCTCCATCCCACCTGGGGATTGCCCCACCTGGGAGCCTTTGGCTGCCTGTGGCTGCACATTTGCAGGTATGACTTTCAGTCACGAACAGGATAACCATCTCCATGCTTTAGTTACATGGATTACACCAGCACTGGGAAGCATCTCCCCTGAACTGAATCCTGAAGGTAATTTTTGTTTCAGGAGACAAAGTCCTTGAGGGTGATTTTGCTTCTGTATTAAATACTTCCTTCTTTTAAAATCAGATGTCTTGCACTTTGACTCAAAAATCAAAAATAGGAAAGCGGTTAGGAGTCTTCCTTTTGAAATTATTCCAGTTTTACTTGTTGACTGAATTTAGTAACAGTTTTTCTGGAATAAAGAAATTTTGTCTGTCTGGATTTTGAGCCAGACAAGAGACCGAGAAAACAACCTTCCCTTCCAAAGTCAATTTGGACCAAGATCATTTTCTTTCCTCTGACAGACAGGTTTTCTGGCTTAGAGCAAGGTACTTCTCATGCATTCCTCATGCTATATTGAGGTGCAGAGGTCACAGGGAACTAAAAGACCAAAACTGGACTTGTCAACGCCTACAGTTTAATCTGATGCTGAGCCACTACCTTGCACGCAACATTACTGGCAAAATACACACAATATATGGACCTGCAAACAAAATGGTGCTGCAGTTTTTGTAACTCAGAAAGTAAACATGGTGAGTGACACCTAACCTGAGCTGTCTTCTGCATAGCATTGGGTCCTCACCATGGGCAATCACTGTTAACTACCAGAACTGATGACTCTGTTGGCAGTTCGCAGGCAATGTCACTGGTAAAACACTGAAATGCCAAGAACCATGCCAAATGCCTCAGAAGTGCTGAGCATCCTCGTTTCCCTTTGATTTAAATGGGAGCTGAAGGCACACAGCACCTTGCAGGATTTGGCCCTGTGTAAGAAGATACTGGCTGAACTGCTCTGGCTGACTGTCAAGACTGTCCCTTTTTTCCCATATTTTTTTTCCAAGGAAAAGATTTATCTAGGATTTACATTTTGCAAAGGCAAACTAAGATAAGACCTATTCTTACAGAGAGAGAAGAGCAACCGTAGTTCCCTTTCTGTCTGTGTTTTCAGCATTTGCAGCTCTAAGAGTCCATTTTAAGGC